ATTTTGTTTGTTAGATTTAAGACGGGGGTCTTCAAACTTGGCCCTTTTATGACTTGTGGACTTCAACTCCCAGAATTCCTCAGCCAGCCTCCATTTTGTTTATTAGATTTAAGACAGGGGTCTTCAAACTGGGCCCTTTTATGACTTGTGGACTTCAACTCCCAGAATTCTTCAGCCAGCCTCCATTTTGTTTGTTAGATTTAAGACAGGGGTCTTCCAACTTGGCCCTTTTATGACTTGTGGACTTCAACTCCCAGAATTCCTCAGCCAGCCTCCATTTTGTTTGTTAGATTTAAGACAGGGGTCTTCAAACTTGGCCCTTTTATGACTTGTGGACTTCAACTCCCAGAATTCCTCAGCCAGGCACGCCTGGCTGAGGAATTCTGGGAGTTGAAGTCCACCAGTCATAAAAGGGCCAAGTTTGAAGACCCCTGATTTATATGATTGATGTGATTTTGTATCTTACCTTTCTTGGCAAGGCACTCAGACTAGCAAGGTGGAAAACCAGCTGAGAAAAGTGGGAAGGTTGTGGAGAAGCAGAGACAATGAATACCATGAGGCAAGGAATTTGTAGAGGGGGGTTCTCTGCTCTTCCCCAATTTGGGAACTCACCCTACTTTTTTCTTCTCCCTAGTTTCCCTGTGGAATGGGACCACTGCCTTGGCCAGCTGGCTGCAGCCAACCTGCCTCTACTAGCTCATCTCCGCCAACTCACCTCTGTCAACTCGCCACAGGACAACTCCACACGGCCAACTGGCTGCCAGGAGAACTCACCGCAGACGGCTGGAAGGAGGGCCGGGCAGCCGAGCAAATGAGGAACGGGCAGAGTGCAGAGCACATTGGGGGAGGTTGTGGGCAGGCAGCAGTGACCAGGGGCTCCCCATTTTCACACCTCTTGCTGCCACCAGGGCCGGTCCCATTTGGACTTAGTGCGGTGGCAACAGCAGCTACGAGCCTGGCACAGCAGCGGCGGCAGAGGTTGTGAAAAATGGGAAGTCCCCAGCTGCTGCCTCCCTGCCCCCTGCCACAACGTGCTCTCTGCTCTGCGCTCTGCCCACCCGCTCACTCACGTACCTGCCCGGCTCTCCCTCCGACTGACTGCTGAAAGTTGTCCCCCTGGCAAGTTGGCCGTTTGCAGATAATAATAATAATAATAATAATAATAATAATAATAATAATAATAACAACAACAACAACAACAACAACAACAATAATAATAATAATAATAATAATAATAATAATAATAATAATAATAATAATAATAATAATAATAAAAGTTGGAAGGGACCTTGGAGGTCATCTAGTCCAACCCCCCGCTCAGGCAGGAAACCCTATACTATTTCGGACAAATGGCTGTCCAGTCTCTTCTTAAAAACTTCCAGTGTTGGAGCATTCACCGCTTCTGGAGGCAGGTTGTTCCACTGGTTAATTGTTCTAACTGTCAGGAAGTTTCTCCTTAGTTCTAGGTTGCTTCTCTCCTTGATTAGTTTCCATCTGTTGCTTCTTGTCCTGCCTTCAGGCGCTTTGGAGAATAGGCTGACTCCCTCTTCTTTGTGGCAGCCCCTGAGATATTGGAACACTGCTGTCATGTCCCCCCTCATCCTTCTCTTCGTTAAACTAGACATACCAAATTCCAGCAACCGTTCCTTATATGTTTTAGCCTCCAGTCCCCTAATCATCTTTGTTGCTCTTCTCTGCACTCTTTCTAGAGTCTCAACATCTTTTTTACATCGTGGTGACCAAAACTGGATGCAGGATTCCAAGTGTGGCCTCACCAAGGCCTTGTAAAGTGGTATTAATACTTCACGTGATCTTGATTCTATCCCTCTGTTAATGCAGCCTAGCACTGTGTTGGCTTTTTTGGCAGCTGCAGCACACGGCTGGCTCATATCTAAGCGATTGTCCACTAGGACTCCGAGATCCCTCTCACAGTTGCTACTATTGAGCAAGGTACCACCTATACTATACCTGTTCATTTGGTTTTTCTTGCCTAAATGTAGAACTTTACTGAGGTGAGTTGGCAGCCAAGAGTTGGCTAAGGCAAGTTGTCCAAGACCCGTTTCCCTGCCCCTCCGGGAGAAAAGGAAGATCAAGGCGAAGACAGGATCCCATTTGAGGCCTGCGCTGTTGAAAGCAGCCACATTACTGAACGATTAAGGACAGAAATTCAAAGCCATCCAAGGTTAATTCAAGGCCATCTGCCAGTGTTGAGTGTTGTTTCCATGCGACAAGTGATGGGCCGTTTGCTGTAAAAATACAAAGTTGTGGCTTGAACTCAGAAGGAAGGGAGGAGATGTGTGTCTGCAAGGCCTGTATAACAAAGATGTGTGGACAGGTGGGGCCCCTTTTAGTGTAGAAAACAGGAGTTGACTGTCAGGCACATCATAGGAGACATATTGCGAAGATAAAGAATAGGACTAAGACAGAGTCAGTAGAAGACCTGCTAAATGTCTTCCAGGATGCCTATTACCATAGTTAATTTTTAGGAATAGGACTGAATTAGAGCCAATAGAAGACTTGTTAGATAAGTTTTGAAATGTTTAAGAGTTAAGACTTAGAAATAGAGATGGCACCAATAGAAGACCCTTTAGATCAGGGGTGTCAAACTCGCAACGTCACGTGATGTATCGCGACGTTTTTGCCATCGCCGGCAATGGGGTGAGTGCAGTTTCGCAATGATGCATCTGGCCCGCGGGCCGACAGTTTGACACCCTTGCTTTAGATCACTTTCAGAATGCCTATTAGACCATGCTTCTTCATCCCGCCTTGAAAAACTGTACAAAAGCTTGTTGAATCCTTTGTTCTGGGTCCTGGCATTCTGAGGGCTGGGGCCCCTTTTGCTGAAGCGCTTCAATAAAAAGAAACAAAACCTGCACCCATGTCTGGTATTCTTAATCGGTTCTGCCACCAGACTAAGACCCAAACTGAGCAGAACACAAGATTGCCTGAGTCTTTGGCCAAGTTTGGAGCCGAGATAGATCCCTTTGCCCAGATGGTCATCCCCACCAGGTTCCTCACCTTTTTACAATGTTGGGATGGGCAGCCTTGAATATAGTGCAGAAGGAAAACAAGTATTCCCAAACCAGGATATCTGAGGATGGTCTTAGGCTGTTGTAGCAGTGGACTAGGACAGACATGGAGTTCATTCAAGAGGATGGGTCCCTCCAGGCATCTTCAGGTCACAGCAAGCAAGATGTCACTTTCAGACTGTTTGCACTGTGCAAGTGCCAAGCATCATCTCTGCGCCATTTTCGAAGCAGGCAGGGTCCTATTTTACTCCTTGTTGTTTTTCTCCAAAGCAGTTCCTGTTTGAGTCCTTGATGGCCCAAATATTCAAGGTAGACCCAAGCCATTGCCAAGAACGTCCACAGGGTGGATTAATTAAAATCATGTGGCTGCTTCAACAGTGCGATCAAACCCTTTCCTTGGGTTTTTATTTTTTACGTGTGTGTATCAGACATATGATATACCACTTCTCCCACTAATTGCCATGATTGGGAAAATATATTCCTGATGATGCAATGTAAAAAATAGGACTTGTCATTTCTGCAGCAATAGCAAATGGCTGGCTTGTATTTCATTTATCACCACCTACATTCCAAGACCTTTCTCACAAGCCATCTTAGGAAACCCGTCGTTTTATTTCTTTTGCCTAAATGAAGATCTTTGCATTTTTCTCTATGAATCAACCAATCAGAGTAGAGCTGGAAGGAACCTTGGAGGTCCTCTAGTCCAGCCCCCTGCTCAAACAGGAGACCCTATTAACCATTTCAGACGTGGCTGTCTAGTTTCTTAAAAACCTCCCGTGATGGAGCACCCACAACTTCTGAACAGTTACTAAATGAACTGTTGTAAGTCAAGGATTACCCATATACTAATACTGGGAATTATAGATTTTGCTGATTTTATTAATATTCTTTATGCTTAACCTATTTATTGTTGTTTGTTGTTCAGTCACTAAGTCATGTCTGATTCTTCGCGACTGTGTGGGCCACTGCACGCCAGTCCCTCCTGTCCTCCATTGTCTCCTGGACCTTCCCCAAATTCATGTTCTTTGTGTCGATGACACTATCTACCCATCTCGTCCTCTGCCATTCTCCTTTTTCCTTAAATGTTAAATCAGGGTCTTTTTCAAGGAGTGCTCGCTTCTCATTAGGTGGCCAAAGTAGTTGAGCCTCAAAGATGCTTTTTCACGAGGCAACTGGACTTTCTTGTTTTTTCTTTGAAGATGTTTCGCTTCTCATCCAAGAAGCTTTTTCAGCTCTGACTGGAGGGTGGGGAAATGGAAGTATTTATACTCCTTGCAGACAGCTGGTCATTTGCCTTCTTTCGGAGAGTCGTTAAAGCTACCTGGAGGCTTGTCTGTGTCCTCAGGGTAACCTGAGTGGTGCAAATGGGTGTGGAGCCTTCTCGGGACCGCTGAAAGGACTGTGTGTTGTAGACTGGAGATAGATGGTGTCGTATCTCTCCCCCTCTGTTGAGAGAGGGCTGTTCAGGTTTGACATAGAGGGCCTCTTTGACCCCTCTTTCAAACCAGCGGTCCTCTCTGTCCAAAATGTGGACTTTGCTGTCTTCAAAAGAGCGGCCTTGGTCTTTTAAATGCAGATGCACTGCTGAATCTGGTCCTGATGGGTTTGTTCTCCTATGTTGTGCCATCCGTTTATGAAGTGGTTGTTTTGTTTCCCCAATAAATAAACCTCCAAGTGGCCTTAACAACTCTCTAAAAGAAGGCAAATGACCAGCTGTCTGCAAGGAGTATAAATCCTTCCATTCCCCACCATCCAGTCAGTGTGGAAGAAGCTTCTGGGATGAGAAGCGAAACGTCTTCAAAGAAAAAACAAGAATGTCCATGGGTGCAAGGAAGGTCGTAAATTGGGGCAAAACTCACTTAATACCTGTCTCGCTTAACAACAGAAATTTTGGGCTCCATTGTGCCTGTAAGTCAAGGACTACCATGCCATGCCAGCTTAATCTTTCACACAAGCCGCACCAGTGTAAAAGAAGTCACTTAGATAGACATATCGTTTCTTCCATTAACCTTATAACATAATTTTCTAAACGGGATCCAAAGATGAAAATGCCCTGAAGCAGAGAGGTGGAACTGGAAGCAGACTTGCCAAAGAAGGAGAGCAGATTGAAATCCTCTGTGTAGGATGCCACTCATGGGAACAAAATCAGAAGAACAAAGGGATTCTGCAAGCGAAGTCCCAGCACACCCCTTTGAGAAGCTGCACAGAAATATTGGCGCTCAGCTTCATTTTCTTCCCGCTTGTGCTCTGCCTCCTGGTTGTCCAACTGGTGAGGCTGCAGTTTCAAAGAAGGCGCTATCCACCAGGGCCGACACCTCTGCCTTTCGTCGGATCCTTATGGCACCCCAAATTTCTTCGACTAAACCGGGAACACTTGACTGAGGTATGAGTTTTCTATCCCTTTCACCAGCTGATTGACATGGATCAAAGAACAAATTATTGTTTGGGGAGATGCACAGATAATTTATAGAATAGAATAGAACAGAACAGAACAGAACAGAACAGAACAGAACAGAACAGAACAGAACAGAACAGAATAGAATAGAATAGAATAGAATACAGTACAATACAGTACAGTACAGTACAATACAATGCAATGCAATGCAATACAATACAATACAGTATAATCCAATCCAATCCAATCCAATCCAATCCAATCCAATCCAATACAATACAATACAATACAATATGAGAGTTGGAAGGGATCTTTTATAACCCACTGCTCAGGCAGGAAACCCTGTACCATTTGAGACAAATGGTTGTCCAATCTCTTCTTAAAAACTTCCAGTTTTGGAGCATTCACAACCTCTGGAGGCAGGTTGTTCCACTGGTTAATTGTTCTCACTGTTAGGAAGTCTCTCCTTTATTCTAGGTTGCTTCTCTCCTTGATTAGTTTCCATCTATTGCTTCTTTTTCCTGCCTTCAGGCGCTTTGGAGAATATTGCTAAGTGACATTGTGGCTTTTGCGTGGCCAAAGATTTGTGCGGTCAAATCTTTCTTTGTTTTTGTAAGAGCTATTGTTTGTGCTCACCATGTCTTCTAATTGGACAAATGTTGATCTTTCTTGATAACATGTTACCAATAATAACAAAAAAAAATACATTTTTAGCTCTTCCGTTGGTCCACTTCCAACAACAATATCTCTGGTCAAGGCATTTTGCACACTGGAACATGTGCAATATGTACTCTAATACGGAATGCATAAAAATGTTCATTCTTGAGGAACAATGTGAAAATTCTCAGAAATAATCAGTCTGGAGGTAAGTGGAGTGGCGATCAACAAAATAATTGGAAGATATGTGGGAACTTCAGATTGGTAGGGCTAAACTTAGGCAATAGAAAGAAATCAGAAAAAAAATTCTAAAGACCTTAATTTGTAAGTCTCTCGGTAACCAGGCAGAGATGAGCGGGACAGATTTGCCAAACTTAGAAGCTGCTAGAAAAACCTTATTTTTTTCTGATCAGATCGTTTGATAAAGGAAGTCCTCGACTTACAACAGTCCATTTAGTCACCTTTCAAAGTTACAATGGCAATGAAAAAAGAGACTTATGTTTTTCAAACTTGCGATCATTACAGCATCCCCAAGGCCACGTGATCAAAATTCAGACGCTTGGCAACTGGTTCATACTTTATGACGGTTACAGTGTGCCAGGATCATGTGATCAGGTTTTGCGAGAGACAGGGCCAAACATTCTCCCCTCTTGCCAAAAAACCACAACACGGATGTTATCTGAAGTTGAACTTGATTCGAGGGACACACATAGCTGTATCATGACTATGCTGATAGTGTTGGGGGTCTTTTGTTGCTGTTGTTGTTGCTTGCTATAGGTTTTGTTGTTTTGTTGGGATGTTTCTACCGGGTTTTATTCCTTGTTAGCACCCTAGAGAAGGGGGGTCTCCAAACTTGACAACTCTGAGACTTGTGGACTTCAACTCCCAGAATTCCTCAGCAGCCTCTGGGAGTTGAAATTGGAGACCCCCATGCCCTAGAGCAGAGGTAGGCCCCCTTGCCCCTTTTATGACTCGTGGACTTCAACTCCCAGAATTCCTGAGCCAGCATGGGGGAACTATGGCCCCTTCATGACTGGTGGACTTCAACTCCCAGAATTCCTGAGCCAGCCATGCTGAGGGGAAAGGGAGAGGTTTCCAAGCTGAGCCATGCTGGCTCAGGAATTCTGGGAGTTGAAGTCCACGAGTTATGAAGGTGCCATAGTTCCTTCATGCTGGCTAAGGAATTCTGGGAGTTGAAGTCCAGGAGTCATGAAGGGGCCATTGTTCCCCCATGCTAGCTCAGGAATTCTGGGAGTTGAAGTCTACGAGTCCTAAAAGAGCCAAGGTTGCCTACCCCTGGGCTAGAGTAATGAGTTTGAGAGGGATGAATTGAATGAACAAACAAACAAGTGAATGAATGAATTAAAAAATAATAATTTCCCCAACTTGCCTCTCCGATCCTCCGTATTTTTAAGATCTTTCAACATCTGCTTATTTCTTTATTAAATGTACGTGCTGCCCCTTTCACTATCAGTGTGACTGGGGGCTCACAACACGATAAAAGCAAGAATAGGAAAACGGTAAAAATATTTTTTTAAAAAACTTAAAATCAACAAGGATTGGCTAAAACTAGGACCCTGACAGGTAATCCTCGACTTACCACCACAATTGAGCCCAAAATGTCTGTTGCTAAATGAGACAGTTAAGTGAATTTTTGCCCCATTTTTCAACCTCATTTCCATGGTTGTTAAGTGAATCACCGCAGTTGTTAAGGTAGTCAAATGGTTGTTAAGTGAATCTGGCTTCCCCCTTGACTTTGCTTGTCAGAAGGTCCGAAAAGGGGATCACGCGACCCCGGGACACTGCGACCGTCCTAAATAGGAGACAAGGGCCAAGTGTTTGAATTTTGATCGTATCACCATGAGGATGCTGCAACGGTCGTAAGTTGTCATGGCCCCATCGGAGCCCAGTTCGGAGGAGGAGTTGGAACTGGGACTGTCCAACAGGGATGGCACGTCTCCCTTGGCCTGTTTGGAAAGGCCAGGGGCTGAGGACGATGCTCTCACAGGTCCTTCAGGCATTGGGGGAGGCGATTGACCAGATGGAGAGCTGCCTGCCCTCACAGACGCAGGGGAGGATCAGCTGCTGACAGGCTGTAGGGCTGATAGGCAGCAGGTCCCCTCTGATGAGGAACAGCTGCCTCCCCCGCTTGATCCAAGGGCATGGAGAGCAGAGTGGAGGCAACCTCAGAGAACGGCTGCCAAGTTAGTCGGGAGGAACACCTGGAGCAGAGTGACTTTAAGGAGGAGCCGTGGGGAGTTAGTCTTTTCCAGGAACAACTGTTTGTTTTGGCTTACACTCCCCCAGCTTTGACTCGTGCCTTTTGCCTTTCGCCTTGAGAACTGCCTTTTCATTTCATTTCATTTCATTTTATTCGAATGAAAATAAAATAAAAGAGTCAGCAGTCTAGGACACGAATCTTAAAGACAGGCATCTTAAAGACCGCCTGGGATGGTTTTTCTAACAGATGTCGAAGATCTACGGGAATATCTTCACGTTGTGGTTTGGGCCGTATCCTGTGATTATATTACAAGGTTTCCAATGGGATATTTTTTCTAACAGATCTCAAAGATCTACGGGAATATCTTCACCTTGTGGTTTGGGCCGTACCCTGTGATTATATTACAAGGTTTCCAAGCGGTGAAGGAGGGTCTCACCGCCCACCCTGAAGACTTGGCTGGCCGGCCTTTGCTCCCCTTATTTAAAGCAGTGGCAAATAATAAAGGTAAGAACAATCAACTTTTTTTTTCAGATGTGGGCACAGGAGACAGGACAATGTTCATTTGCTTGGGGTCACCTCCATTGTGGTTCAGCTATACTTACAACCACATTTGTATGTAGCATTGCAGGCTAACTCTGCCCACCACCAGCAGTTCAGTGCTGAACGGCTCAAGGTTGACTCAGCCTTCCATCCTTCCGAGGTCGGTAAAATGAGGCCCCAGATTGTTGGGGGGCAAGAGGCTGACTCTGTACGCCGCTTAGAGAGGGCTGCAAAGCACTGTGGAGCGGTATATAAGTCTAAGTGCTATTCCTTCCTTCCTTCCTTCCTTCCTTCCTTCCTTCCTTCCTTCCTTCCTTCCTTCCTTCCTTCCTTCCTTCCTCCCATCCTCCTGCCTGCCCTTTTCTTTCTTTCTTTCTTTCTTTCTTTCTTTCTTTCTTTCTTTCTTTCTTTCTTTCTTTCTTTCTCCCTCTCCCTCTCCCTCTCCCTCTCCCTCTCCCTCTCCCTCTCTCTCCTGTCTGCCTGCCTGCCTGCCATGGTGGCGCAGTGGTTAAGAATGCGTCCACAGCCAGGAATTCGATCCTGACAGTAAAATAAGGACCAAGATTGTTGGGGGGCAAGAGGCTGACTCTGTAAACTGCTCAGAGAGGGCTGCAAAGCCCTGTGAAGCGGTATATAAGTCTAAGTCCCCTGGCTCTTGCTGTTGCTATCACAATGTTCTGAGAAGGGTATTTTCTCTTTCTGTCAGTTCTAAAGACTTGAGTAAGGCCAATCATCTGTCATTCTGTGGTTCTGTGTCATCAGGGATTCTGCTTGCCACGGGTCGGACCTGGAAGCACCAAAGGCGATTTTCAATGGCGACTCTGAAGGTCCTTGGGCATGGGGAAGAGCACTCTGCAGTATCAGATCCAAGAGGAAGCAGAGAATTTGGTGGAAGAGTTCAGGAAAAGTGAAGGTACAACAAAGACAAGTGCATTTATTTATTTATTTTTCCAGAAACCTGTATTGTTTTAATTGATTTTAATTTTCCAAAATGTAAAAGCTAAGACATATCGGACAGTCTGAAGTCATTTCTCCAGTGTCTGCAAGGGAAGGCAAAGTGTCAAAAAAGATCAAGATGGTGGCTCACACCATCAAAGCCCTCGACAAGGAAGGCAATTTCACCTGTCGAGAAGAGTTTATCCCATTTTCTCTAGGTGCTCGTTCAGCTTGCTAAAATTCCATTGAATCTTTAATGATATGCCTTGACTGTTCCTATTTTCACCTCTCAAATGCTAAATATATATTTATGTATTTAGTGATGGACATATCTTTTTTGTGTGTGACTGTTAGATACCTTATTGTATAAAGCCTTCCTAACCCTCACAACTTCAAGACGGGTGGACTTCAACTCCCCAAATTTCCCAGCCAGCAAGCTGTATAGTAGCCTTGAGTATTGTCTTCTCTCGGGATTGTGACAATGCAGCATCGGAGAGGATGCCAGGGCTCTGATGCCTGCCTTTCTTGGCCCTGCCTTCCCTCAAGGGAGAAGGCTGCAGCTGTTGAAATTGGCAATGTTAGAAAGTCTGCTTATATATAGCGCTGCAGAGCAAACAAAGAGTACAGTCACCATGTGCTTTACTGCTCAGCTGTTTTAAACTCTAACAGGAAATAGGAAACTCTCCCCAGAATAAACAGAACCATAGATTATAACCATAGATGCAAACTAAACACTGCCATCTACTGGCTGAATGATTCTGTAGTTGTTGCGATACAAAATGCATTCTAACATGGATTCCATCAGGCAAGGACTGGAAGGAAGTGATGGCCTTCAAGGTTTCTCAGGTATTCATTTCTCCATTTTTGTTCTGCAGACAAAAAACCAACCCAAATCGCCCTATAACGAAAAGAACCTGGTTCAGAACATTTTTGATCTCTTCATGGGGGGAACAGAGACATCGGGCACCACTTTTATAACTGGGCACTGTTGTATATGGTGCTTTATCCTGACATTCAAGGTGAGAGAAGAATCATCAGTGCAGAGAAGAGCAACAAAGATGATTAGGGGACTGGAGGCTAAAACATATGAAGAATGGTTACAAGAACTGGGCATGGCTAGTTTAGTGAAGAGAAGGACCAGGGGAGACATGATAGCAGTGTTCCAATATGTGAGGGGCTGTCACAGAGAAGATGGGGGTCAATCTATTTTCCAAAGCACCTGAAGGCCAGACAAGAAACGATGGATGGGAACTGATCAAGGAGAGATTGAACCTAGAAATAAGGAGAAATTTTCTGACAATGAGAACAATCAACCAATGGAACAGATTGCCTTCAGAACTTGTAGGGGCTTTATCACTAGTAGCTTTCAAGAAGAGACTGGACTTGTCAGAAATGGTGTAGTGTCTCCTCCTTGAGCGGGGGGTTGGACTAGAAGATGACCGACAAGGTCCCTTCTAACTCATTCTGTATAATTCCGCAGCATGCCCATTCTGCTTGGCCTAGTTGGACGTGTAGAAGCATTTGAAAAAAGGTGATCCCTCAGGGGTGTCCAACCTTGGCAACTTTAAAACTTGTGGACTTCAACTCCCAGAATTCCTAGCCAGTATGGCTGGTGGGGGAATTCTGGGAGTTGAACATAAAGATGCCAAGGTTGGACATCCCTGGTCTAGATAATTCCCTCCTCCTGGGCTGAGCTTCTGCCATTAATAGACCATGGACAGCTGAGGTCACACCTGGATGCTTATTCACTCCTAACTTAGTCAATGTGCAAAATCTTTGTTTCTCCCCAGCCAAAGTTCAAAAGGAAATTGATACCCTTCTACCACCGGGCCAGTCGATCTGTTACGAGGATTGCAAGAAACTTCCATACACAAATGCAGTGGTGCACAAAATCCAGCGCTTTAGCAACATCATCGCGATCGGAGTGCCCAGATACTGCATAAGAGATACGATGATCCAGAAGTTTCTCTTTAGAAAGGTAAATGAATTCCTGTGTTCTGGAGCCTTCTATTCCTCTCCTCACCATATTGCTAGAGGAAGCACATGCAATACAGGGATTCATCAGTTAACGATGATAATTGGACGGAGAACTCTGTTGTTAAGTGCGATGTCATGTGACCACATCAACTTACAATGGCAGTTCAGGCAGCTCCTGTAGTGCTCTTTAGGTGAATTCTACACAGTCGTTAGGTGCAATATCACACAATTGCCATTTGTGACGTCCTGTCAACTTTCCTACTGACTTTGTGTTAAGTTTTGAAGGACGGTATTTGCTGTTGCGGCAATTATTGTTTCTCACCTTGCCAATGAACTCGGAGGGAGAGAAAAGGATTGGAATGCAGACTTCAAAGATTAAGAAAGCAGCCTGTGAGAACCAAGGACGGTTCACCAGGTGTCTGGCCAGACCCAGAGACAATTTCTCATAACAATGATTTCTCCTCTAATTGGACAACGTGACATGACCATGCTTGTTAGAAGCCAGCAGTGAAAGTTGCAAATGGCAGGACATTGCGACCATCGTAATTGCAAGCCAGTTGCCAAACACATGAATCATGATTAGTTGTTTCACTGGTTAATTGTTCTAACTATCAGGAAATTTCTCCTTAGTTCTAGGTTGGTTCTCTCCTTGGTTAGTTTCCATCCGTTGCTTCTTGACTTGCCTTCAGAGGCTTTGGAGAATAGCTTGACTCCCTCTTCTTTGTAATGATCCCTCAGATATTGGAACACAGTTATCATGTCACCCCTAGCCCTTCTTCTCATGAAACTACATACCCAATTCCTGCCACTGTTCTTCATATGTTTTAGCCTCCAGTCTCCTAATCCTCTTTGTTGCTCTTCTCTGCACTCTTTCCAGAACCTCAACAACTTTTTTATATCGTGACAACCAAAACTGGATGCACTATTCCAAGTGTGGTCTCACCAAGGCCTTAAAAAGTGATACTAACACTTCACGTGATCTTATTTTATTTTATTTTAGCTCTCTGTTAATGCAGCCTAGGACAGCGCTGACTGTGGGAAGTGTAATGGTTGAAACTTTGAGGACCAGCCATAAGTCTCCTTGTTCAGCACTGTTGCAACTTTAAGCACTTCCTGAACAAACGGTTGTTAACAGAGGACTACCTGTACTTGTATATATTCATAATCGCAGCTATTGTTCTCCAGAAATGTCAGACTTCAATATGATCAAAAGCTGGAGCAAGTCAAGCACACAGGGGAAAAAAAAGCAGCAATAATTTATTGGCCTTTTTTCATACCTACAAGGTCTTGACCAAAGCTATTCCCAAGCAACTAATAGTAGCAATAATTATCACTGTTCATTTGTATTGTGACATGTGCTATTTCCTGACACGCTTTTTCCCTCCTACAGAGCAAAGAAAATGAGAACAAGATGTACTTTATGTGCCCAAAGTTCCAAGGGGGGAGGTTATGTTGTGACATTGTGACCCATATTTTGTCATCTTTGGGGTTCACTATGAAGTGGGTCTGTTTCCAATGACCGTTCTTCACCCTGATTTCTCGATTAGCTTGTCCAGTTAGTCCTCATCGATCCATGTCTGAAACTAGGGCTATTCTTTGTTAATGCTGAAGCGCAAATATTTAAAGCATACAAAGTCCTTTCTTTCTTTGCGCACACCACAAAAAGGGATGTTTGATCTCTTTTGAGTTGAGCTCGGCTTCTGTCACTTCATAGAGACGTATACATCATTTTTATGGCAACAAATCAGAAATGGTTCCGCTTTACTTTCCCTCAGGATAATTTTTTTTTTCAATTGCCCAGCCTAAGGTTGAGCTCAGATGTCCGAAAGGCAACTGGACTTCATTGGTTTTCCTTGAAGATGTTTTGCTTCTCACCTTCTTCAGAAATGAAGAAGCTTCTTGGATGAGAAGCGAAACATCTTCAAGGGAAAACAAACTCCATTTGTCTTTTGAAAAAGCACTTTGGGGACAACCATGACCTGGATGACTGAGAATCTCCACAGAGGTTGAGCTCAGATAAATTTCCTGATGGTTTCTCAACCATCAGATCCAACCTGCTTCATTTTTTTTAGATCAGCCAAAGTCAGCTTCAAAAATTAGGTTTATTAGGAACCTTTTCTTAAATTTTTTTTTTAAAAGATTGTTGCTTAACCTATTTGTATTTTTTTTAGAAGAGTGATCTTTAAACCCATGAATTGAAATTTGTCACTTCTGCCTCCGTTGCCAGCAGATATAACCATTTTTTTCCCTTCCCTTAGCCCAGGGGTAGGCAACCTGGGCTCTTTTATGACTCGTGGACTTCAACTCCCAGAATTCCTGAGCCAGCATGGGGGAACTATGGCCCCTTCATGACTCGTGGACTTCAACTCCCAGAATTCCTGAGCTAGCATGGCTCAGCTTGGAAATCTCTCCTTTTCCCCTCAGCATGGCTGGCTCAGGAATTCTGGGAGTTGAAGTCCACCCATCTCCGAGTGGCCAAGGTTAAGAAATACAGGCCTAAGCGAGGGGTAGGCAACCTTGGCCCCTTCATGACTCGTGGACTTCAACTCCCAGAATTCCTGAGCCAGCATGGCTCAGCTTGGAAACCTCTCCCTTTTCCCTCAGCATGGCTGGCTCAGGAATTCTGGGAGTTGAAGAGCCAAGGTTGCCTACCCCTGCCTTAGGGCGAAAGGCAAAACGTAAGTGCTCCTCTTCTTTTCCACAGGGCTCCATCTTTTTCCCAAACATGGCTTCTCCCTTGTATGATGCCAACGAGTGGGAGACACCCCTCGCCTTCAACCCGAACCATTTCCTCGACAAGGAAGGCAATTTCACCTGTCGAGAAGCGTTCATCCCATTTTCTCTAGGTGCTCGTTCAGCTTGTTAAAATTCCATCGAATCTTTAATGATATGCATTGACTGCTCCTATTTTCACCTCTCAAATGCTAAATATATATTTATGTATTTAGTGATGGACATATCTTCTGATTATGGGCAGCTTGAAACAAAGAGCTACCGTCAACATTCCTTTCGTGAACAGTAATCTGCATCAAGAGTGTTTTAAATAAGAAAAAATGACTTTGTGGTGGATTGTCAACAGGGATGTCTGTAGATTGTGGTAAAAAAAATCATGATGGCAGCCGTGAAGATGCAATCAAAGCTCCACCTAGTTTGCATATTCTTCAGTCGTACAGCTGTGGCCACCATCTCATTTTTTATTTTTTATTTAAAAAAAAAAAAGTATCTGGTGGGCTCACTGCTAGGCATGCCACATCCTAGTCTTAGCTAGTTTGCAACAGTAGCCTGTTCAGTGGAGTTGCCAAACTAACACACATTGTGGATCAGCTCCAGCCACAGATAAGAACATTATATTAGGAAACATAATATGATTATGTAAATTTGCTCATACGTGTGTTACGAAAATGCCGATACATAGATAAATCAACCAAAAAACAAATGAGGCAATGGATTGAACTTGTGTGAACCAGAGAGAGAGAGAGAGAGAAAGAGAGAGTGAGAAAGAGAGAGAGAGAGAGAGGCGAAGAGAGAGAGAGGAAGAGGGAGAGAGGGAGAAAGAGAGGAAGAGAGGGGGAAAGAGAGAGAGGAAGAGAGAGAGAGAGAGAGGAAGAGGAGAGGAAGAGAGAGGAAGAGAAAGCAAAAAAGAGAGTGAGAAAGAGAAATAGAAAGAGAGAGAAAGAGAGACAGAGGAAGAGAGAGAGAGAGAAAGAGAAGAAGAGAGAGGAAGAAAGAAAAAGAGAGAGGGAGAGAAAGAAGGAGAGAGAGAGAAAGGAAGAGGAGGAAGAGACGAAGAGAGAGAGAGAGGAAGAGGGGGAGAGGAAGAGAGAGAAAGCAAGAAAGCAAGAAAGAGAGAGAGAAAGCAAGAAAGCAAGAAAGAGAGTGAGAAAGAAAGATAGAAATTAGAGAGAGAGAAAGAGAGAGAGGAAAAGAGAGAGAAAGAGAAGAAGAAGGACGGGGAAGAGAGAGAGGAAGAGAGAAAGAGAGAGAGGGAGAGAGGGAGAGGAAGAGAGAGAGGGAGAGGGAGAGAGAGAGAGGAAGAGAGAGAGAAAGGAAGAGGGGGAGAGGAAGAGAGAAAGAGAAAGCAAGAAAGAGAGAGAGAAAGAAATGAAAGAGAGACAGAAGAAGAAGGATGGGGAAGAGAGAGAGGAAGAGAGAAAGAGAAAGAGAGAGAGAGAGGGGAAGAGAGAGAGAGGAAGAGGGAAAGAGAGAGGAAGAGAGGAAGAGAGGAAGAGAGGAAGAGAGGGGGAGAGGAAGAGAGAGGAAGAGAAAGCAAAAAAGAGAGTGAGAAAGAGAAATAGAAAGAGAGAGAAAGAGAGACAGAGGAAGAGAGAGAGAGAGAAAGAAGAAGAGAGGGGAAGAAAGAAAAAGAGAGAGGGAAAGAGAAGGAGAGAGAGAGAAAGAGGAAGAGGAGGAAGAGAGAGGAAGAGAGAGAGAGAGGAAGAGGGGGAGAGGAAGAGAGAGAAAGCAAGAAAGCAAGAAAGAGAGTGAGAAAGATAGAAATAGAGATAAAGAGAGAGGAAAAGAGAGAGAAAGAGAAGAAGGACGGGGAAGAGAGAGAGGAAGAGAGAAAGAGAAAGAGAAAGAAAGAGAAAGAGAAAGAGAGAGGGGGAGAGGGAGAGAGGGAGAGGGAGAGGGGGAGAGAGAGAGAGAGAGAGAGAGACCTATACAAATGCAGATGTAAAACCATCAGAAAGTTTATCAAGACAAAGAGACTTAAAATCTGCATACCCCACCCAAACTCTAGGAGTCATTAGCCCCGTCACCAGGGAAGCAGGATATGATAATAGGATTAAACCACAGATATCAAGGCCTAGAAAAACCCTCAGAAATAGTCTCAAAGTTCATGCCACAGGAACAGGAAACTATTCCAAAAAAAGGCTAGAGGGGGTATAAAAACCTACTACCCATGTGCTCAGCCCTTCTTCCCTCTGCTCTTTCCTGCAAGAACCATCTTTCTGCCTCTTCAATAAACTGTAACCTTCTTCCCAAAGCAGTCGCCATGTTGCTTATTTATCCCCGGCTTGGATGAACCAGGATGAAGACTTTAATCCAACAACAGTCATAAAGTTCCTCACCTCTGCCCTAATCACTCCCTTCCAGCACTGATTTGTTGTTTTCCTCTCCTCTCCTAGGTCATCGAGCATGTTTGGGAGAAAATTTGGCAAAAACAGAGATCTTCCTTTTCTTTACCAACCTTGTTCAAATGTTCAATTTCCACTTGGCTGACAGATCAAAAGATATAAAGTTTGACGCGATCTGGGGAGGCACTCTGCATCCGCATTTCTTTGAGATCTCTGCAATTCCTTGCTAGGCCCCTATGCCAGGTCTGAATAGCAGCTGTGGATACTGAATAGCAGCTGTGGACTGGGAATCCAAGTAGCTGGCTCTGTCTCTTCCAACTTTTGTCTGAAAAACAGCCCTCCTTGTTGCGAAAGAAAAATGTATACAACCTAGTCTCGTTCTGCAACATGGGCTTTTGAATACTGACAGGCCAGAAACATCAGCCCTGGGCTGTTTTCTATGTTATTGTCATTTATCTAGTTCTACTTGCTCCCTTTTAACTCACCCCTAATCTGACCACTTTTAAAATCAAATTTCAATTATTTGCAAAAAGCAAGAGAAGGAGGAGGAAAAAAAGCACTTGAGCGTTCACCACTTTTTGAATAATCTCCTGATGTGTTGTTCGTCCATCGATTTCGATGAAGACTTTGACATCTTATGGATTATGGACCATCAGTGGTGTGTCTGTAGATGGCTGATTAGACCGATGTTAGCACGGAATGTTCTGCCACATACTGAACAGAGAAATGTGGACACTATTGCTTCAGCATTTGCAGCTCTGGCTTTACAGAGTGCTCGCTTCTGTTGTGCCAAGATTGTCCTTCTGTGTTCATATGTCTGGCAACCCTGGTAAACCAGGGTACGCCATGTCGGTCGATCATGCGCCAAAAATTCCCAAGAGATGGTGTCGATATCCAGGGACTTGAGAGATGCTTTCAGCGTGTCTTTGTATNGCTTCTTTTGTCCCCCGTGCGATTGCTTTCCTTGAGACAGCTCACCATAGAAGAGCTGTTTAGGGATGCGATGGTCTGGCATCCTTACAACGTGGCCTGCCCAGCGCATCTGGGCTTTCATCAACAGAGTGTAAACTGATGATAGGTCTGCTCTGGAGAGGACATCTGTATCTGGTATCTTATCCTGCCACCGGATCCTCAGAATTCTACGAAGGCAAGTCATGTGGAAGTAATTCAGTTGCCTGACATGCCTCCTGTACACTGTCCAGGTCTCACTAGCATACATCAGGGTAGTTAGCACTGCTGCCTGGTAAACTTTAAGCTTAGTAGCAAGGCTTATTCCACGGCGGTCCCACACGTTAGTCTCCTGATGTAATAACCACCTCTACCACTAGATGTCACCACACACTGCTTTTAAAACTTTTCTAAAGTTTAAACTTTTCTAAAACTTCCTGGACACTCCTTTTCTTAAATTATCCTTTACCCAGACTTTCATACAGAAGTGGGCAGGTAAGAAGCTTTTGCTAGGCTTAATGAATACATCTTCCCAATCTACTCCCAGGTAGATATCATCTCAGAAATGTGCATGAATCCTGTATATACATACAAAATCTTTTTTTTTTTTGTAATGTTATGCCTACCATATAGGGCCATGTTTTATATCAGCAGCATACTGATGGCACCATACTGGTGACTGATGGATGACCTCACCAATGGTTTCATGTAAATGTTGAACAGGAGCAAAGAAAGCATGAATCCATAGGGGCCCCACCAGTATGAGACAACAGGCATGCGTTAGCCCTCCCATGAACCCTAACTGGAACTGACCAGTGAGGAAGGAGGTAGAACATAAAGGGATCTGGGGGGGGTGTGCCTTCTAGTCCAGGGCTTTTCAACCTTTGCACACATCATACCACTTTAAGAACATGACAATATTCAAGTACCACCAGTGCTTAGCAAAGTGTCAAAAACTTGATGAATGAAAAAAAAGGGAGGGAATTTTGGGTTTTACTGATTAGATTAAGTTGTTGTTATAGAAATGGCTAGTTTATACTGTTGAAAGGAAAATCTTTATCAGGGTCCAGTCCAAGCCGGGAATAAACAAAATGGAGACTGCTTTAAAAAGAAGGTTGCAGTTTAATTGAAGAGCAGAGCCAGGCAGAAATGAAGCTCTGGGAAAGCTGACCACATGTAGCTGGGAGTGGTGGATTTTTATACCTTCTGGGGCTTTTGAGGTTGTTTCCTGTTCCTGTTTGAGGCTTTGTATTTCCTGTGTCATGTACTTTGTTTTTTTTTAATGTTTTATTGATTTTGTAATTTTACATTTAAGTATTTAAAAAGCAACATGGCGGCTGAGTTAAGCGATAATTCAATGACATACAAGTATCTTTTAGTGCCAGTCTCAAACTACCACATTACATATTTCCTCTCTTTTCCCCTTAGTATTTACTGTCTCATGTTTAAACTAATGCAATTCTTATAATATCAATTAAATAAAAATAACATTTTTACATTTATCAATAATTTTTAGCTTATACATATCCTGGTTATTTTAACATTCAGTCTTTATAGACAATCAATGTCCTAATTAGTTTTTTCCCATTTTTAGTTTCCCATTAATATTTAAATTTAACATTTAATATTTATAATTTCCAAGTTTTAAGTAACCCAAGTTCCCTTTATCACAATTCATCACAAAGTCTTAATATTCAGGATACACGTCTTATCTATTTGAATACAGTCTGTTTCTCACCATCTTACACCATCTAATTAATAATACAGTATAACATTCTTATTTTCTATTAATTTGTCTTAAATTTAGTAACCAAAAGTTCTCTTGTTTCAACATCAAATACCTCCTCTCTTTTTCTCTTAATGTCTACTATCTCATATTTAAGCTAGTACAGTTCTTATTATATTAGCTAAGTAAAAACATGTTTATTACATTTAT